AAGAATTATACTAAGCGAAAGAAACTAGATACAAAAAGCTGCTTATTGTATGATTCCATTTACTCAGGAAATGGCAATAGGAATCAGATAAGTGATTGTCAGAGAGCTAGAGATAGGGAAAAGGGATCGATTTCAAATGGGAATGATGGAATATTTTGGGGTGATGAAAATGTTCTGTATCTTGTTTGTGTTGGTGGTTACATTACTATATACATTTGTCAAAATGACAAATTTTATGATATGTAAATCATACGTCAATAAAAAAGGAAAGTAAACAAATAACGTTTCAGGGTGGTTATGGGAATTATGAAAGATCATTCTCCTTCTCCACTTATTTCTTTTGTTTAGTTTTTCATTATTCTCTTCTACGTCTCTCATAAATTTGAAGTCCATGTTGAACTGCAACTTCTTATTTCAGGACTAATATACTACAGAAAATTTACCTGTCTGCTTGACATCCTTGAGTTTAGATTTTAAAGTGAGTCATCAACTGTATTTTTATAGTTCTGGGTGTTCCAATTAGTGCTGAATACTCAGCTGAAATTTGCATTCTCTTTAAAATTATACCAAATATTCCTGCTTCAAGTGGACACTTGATCTGTGTCCTGTGACAGTGGGAGTACACAGTATGGCTGGGACAGTTTATAAAGCAGTCTTGAGTTCTGAGCTTGAGTCCTGCTTGAGAAAAACCACTTCTTCGCCAGCAACATTGTTCTATGCTAGTGGTTCTCAAACTGAACCAAACATCAGAATCTCCTGGAGGAATAGTTAATAGTATACAGATTTCTTGGCCTCGCTTCCCAGAGTTACTTATTCCATAGGTCTAGGGTACCAAACCAAACCCGTTGCCGTCAAGTCGATTCCAACTCATAGCGACCCTATAGGACAGAGTAGAACTGCCCCATAGGGTTTCCAAGGAGCAGCTGGTGGATTCAAACTGCTGACCTTTTGGTTAACAGCCAAGTTCTTAACCATTGCTTCACTAGGGCTCTGAAGCATAAATCAGTGGTTTTGGAAGTAAGCTCCCCCAAACAAAAGCATCAGCATCACCTGGGTTAATTATTAGAAATGTAGGTCTTGGGTGGGGCCCAAGAATTTGCATTTCTAACAGTTACCCAGGTGACGCCGATGCTTTTGTTTTGGGAAACTTTCAAAACCACTGATTTATGCTTACTTCTGGTGTTGCAGTATCAACCTTCCCTCATATATGTGCCAGTATTTTGTTTGAAAACTGTTTCATCATTTCATGGCTGCTCTTGTATAGTATTCACTCACTCACTCATTCATTCATTCACAAGATATTTGATTCCTGAAAGAGGCAGAATTGTGCTAGAAAGAGGAAAAGGGGGGAAAAGTATGTCTATTATTTGCCATCCTCCCCACCCCTTTCCTTCTAACCTCAAGTGGCATCATGCTACATCATAATTATTTTGTCTCTCTAACAACAGGCTACTTTTGGACTCCTGTTTCTCTACTTTAAAATTTTGATGACTCCTACTTGGACTCCTCTGCCCATTGGCCTAAAATATTCTTCAGTTAAGACTTTTCACTCCCTAGTTTGTATAAATAAGCCCTTCTTCCTCACACTTAAGTTTCATAATTGTATTCTATTTTTTTTCAAAGTAATAGTAATTTTTTTATTTAATTTTTTTTCTTTACTGTATCTCAGGTGAAGGTTTACAGAACAGACAGTTTCCCATGAAACAGTAGCACACACATTGTCCTACGACATTGGCTAACAACCCACAACATGTCAACCCCCTCCGCTCCCACCTTTTTTTTTGTTTTTGTGAAAATTTACGTAGCGAAATATACACCACTTCAAATATTTACACATGCACAGTTCAGTGACATCAACCACGCTCTTCCAATTGTGCTGCCACTCTCACCCTAGATGAAGGACCACCGAACAAAACAGTTTCCCATCAAACAGTTAGTATACATCTTGCTTTATGACAGTGGTCAACAACTTCACAACACATCAACACTATCCTTACTCAACCTTGGGTTCCCTATCACCAGCTTTCTTATCCCCTTCTGCTTTCCAGTCTTTGTCCCTGGACTGCTGTGCCTCTTTAGTCCCATTTGGTTTTATGGGGCTGTCCACTCCCTGGCTGAATGGTGAACCTCAGAAGTGACCCCACCACTGAGCTAACATGTCTGGGGGCCATTCTCTCAGGGTCTCTCCAGTCTCCTTTAGGCCAGTAAATCTGGTATTTTTTTGTGAGTTAGAATTTTGGTCTACATCCTTCTCCAGCTCTGTCCAGAACCCTCTGTTGTGATCCCGGTCAGAGCAGTCAGTGGTGGTAGCCGGGTACCATGTAGCTGCACTGGACTCAGTCTGGTGGAGGCCCTGGCAGCTGTGGTCCATTAGTCCTTTGGACTAATCTTTCCCCTGTATCCTGTTCTCTTCACACTCCCTTGTTCCCGAAGGGATGAGACCAGTGGAGTATCTTAGATGGCTGCCCACAGGGTTCTAATACCCCAGATACTCAAAGTAATAGTAATTTTTACTGAATGAAACCAAAGTACCATAAACTGCACAATTTGATACAGTCTGGGATGTGTGGGTGACTGAATTTCAAGAGAATAAATATAAATCATGCTCTTGTATCAAATGCTTCTCTAAACCAAGAAAGAAATAACCGTAATAATCTTAATAGTGATAGTTGTAAAAAGAATGAGTCAAATTTAGAATTTAAAAAACTATTTGGAAGTACTAAATTCAAGGAAATCATAGATTATTTTATCTTTCCAAATGCCATAGCAGATATTGAAGCCCATATATAAAAATTTGTTCAGGATTCCTATTATTTTAAGGTTGCTGTAAAGTATATCATGCTGTAATGGTATCTGCTGATTTTTCTCTGGGATAGATTAAATACAGTATATTATTCTTAGAGCTGATGTCCTTTTATCCTTTTACCACCGCCCCACTGATTATCAAGAGTATTTAGAGAAAATAGCTCATTGCACTGGATTATTACATGCCTCAATTGAATAGTAACTTGCTGCCAATTATCATTACAATGCCATATTGATTTTTTTTCTCATTTCCACAATGGAAATTAAAGGAGAATTTGTGTAAAATGAGTTTTTATATATCTTGTGGATGTGATTGGTTCTGATTATTTGAGCTATTTTTTAAATCTATTGTATTCATTGGTCTGATGTCTTTTACTGATATTCTCTTCGAAATCTAAGTCTTTGCTTTGTTGATAAGCTTTCCTTTGGCAGATACGAAGTCACTGGTTTAAAAACTGTGGAATAGAAATAAAGTTGTGGCTTAAATATTTAGAGTATGGATTTTAACTACTGCTTCACAGGAGTCTGCTATTTATTTATTTATATTTGTGAAGTTCTTGGGTAATATGAGACTCTCTGAGTAAATGCACATTGTTATTACCAGTGTTACTGCTAATTTTCTTAACCATATGAGCCAAATAATGTAATTACACTTAAATTACCAAATATTTATTTATTGTTGACTATATGTAAACCACTCTGCTAGGCACTGTGAGAGATAGAAAGATGAATAAGGTATTCTAAGTATCTTCAGAGAATTTATAATCCAGAAAGTTCGATAAGACATGTACGGCAAAAATCATAATGTTAAGCATAAGAAGATAAATACAGATACATGGGAGATTAGAAGATAAAAAATTATATTTGGTTGGAGGACTTAAGGGGGAAAACATTAATGGAGGATTTAACAGTCAAATTCCACCTTGAAGAGTTTTGAGAGGTGTAATTGGGGTTACCTTCTGGGAAGAAAACATAAATGAGCCAAAGCAGGGAAGTAGAGGGAGGACTTCAGGAAAGAAAATGTGTCTGGTTTTATTGGGATATGTGGTATAAGGCCTGAGGCTGGTAACGTAGATTGAGGCTAGTTTAGAATGTTAGTTCAAAGAATTTGACCTCTATGTGGTAGTCCAGTGGGAATTTTTGGACAGCTGACTGTGATTAAGTGCAACTTAATCTGGCATTTTGTAAAATGAATAAAAGAAAAGAAAGAAGCTGTGGAGACGCTAGTTGGGAGGCTCCTGGCATATTAAAGGAGAGGTAACTAGGATAAACTAGGATGTTAGCAGAGACAATGAAAAGGAGGGAGGAGGCATGTGTGGCAGTCATTATGGAAAGTCAAACCAAACTCTACATAATCAGTCTTCCAGCCTTCTACCATACTAAGAACATCCATCTACTGCCACTCTCCCCAGTCTGCTTCTTCAGCTTATGCCACACTGGTCTCCTGGCAATTCCTGGAAAGTGCCAAACACTAGCTATCTCCTCAGTAGCCAGTTTTCTCTTACTACAACTACTGGGAAAGTCCTCACTTCCTTCAGGGTTCTGTTCAACTACTACCTTATCAAAGAATCGTTCCCTGACAACACATTAAATATTAGCATCCTGGTACTCCCTATTCCATCTACCAAGTTTTATTTTTAAACCTAGCACCATTGCACTGATATTTCATTCCATAGTTTTTTATTTTATTTTATTTTCATCATATGTCCTTCTTGTACCCTTAGCATCTGAAACATGCCTGGTACTTAGTAGGCACTCAATAAATACTTTGTTGAATGAATGAACAGAATAAATGCAAAGGTGAAAGAGATAAGGGATCAAAAAAAAAAATGCCAATATTTCAAATAAAAACAATTCAGAGGGTAGTGGTGTTATTTATACCACAGGAGGAGTGCATTTGAGGGGTGAAGGCAGGGGACGAAATTTTTGCTTTATAAATATATGATGCTGGTGAAACCACCAAGGCAGTACTGTCAACCAAGCTGATCTGAAATGTGACAAGAGATCTGGGATTGAGGAAACGATCTTCAAGTCATCCTCACAGAGTCAATTCTTGACAGCATGGGAGTAGAAAAAAGAACGTCAGCAATATTAAGTCAGGATTGTGAAATTCGTAATTCAAAATTTTATTTTGAATATTTGATGTTTTGAATATACAAACTTATTTATACCTATATTTTTTGTTTATTTTTTAGCTGGGTTAACAACTTTGGCCATGAAGGTCTTGGACTCTTATTGGATGTACTTGAAAAGCTTCTGGACAAGAAACAGTAAGAATAAACGCTAAATAAAATAGTCACCAAAGGGGAAGTTTTTAAGCACAACATAATCTTTTTTTCCCTTCTATTTAGGCAAGAACATATTGACAAGAAGAATCAGTATAAACTTATTCAGTGCCTCAAAGCATTTATGAATAATAAGGTAAGTATGTAATATTTATTTCTGCCTCTATCACAAAAGGTGATAATTTGCCTGACAATATGAAAGTATAAAACAGACAAACTAGTGGATGCTTATTTGGTTTATAAAAGCATGTTTCTCTTTATGATGCAAATCATCATAAGTTTCATTTAAATAGTATTTAATGTATACTTTGCTTTACAAAATAGCCATTGGTAGGTTTTTGCGATCATAAAAACATATGACTCTTGTTCCCAAATTAGATAACACTTTTTATGTCTTTTATGGTAGTAGGAAAATTTAAAGGTTATATTTTGAGTACTATTTCCTTATATAGAGTTTTTATTTTACTGTAAAGAAAAATCCAAAGTTTTGATTTGACTTATTTGCTAAGAACATTGTAAGGTTAAGATTTCTCTTTTATGTTCAGTTAATGACAGTGAGTTAACATACCTAAAAGGCATCTCTAGAAGATAGTGTTTTTTTTTTTTCTTTTATGTCCGTTGAACAACAGTTACATTTAAGGGGCTGTATAAATTTTAAATAAATGATTTTTCTTCTAAAAATAGTCTGTGTTCAGGCTATGAAGTCATAGTAATTTTTTTCTGCAAACTTACTTTGTTACTATCTTGAAATTGATTTGCTGTATATACCTGTAGACAAAATACTGTTGACTAATTCATTTAATTACTTGAATTCCCTTCAGATGGTGTTTTAAAATACTTAATAATTATAACAATACCAGAAACTCGTCAATTGTGAAGTATAGCTATTAATAACTAATGCAATAAGATTGTCTAAGTAATCTGTAAGTTGTCTTTCTTAAGCATGTGGGATTATATATAAGTATGTATCTATTACACACATATGTATTAACAAAGAATACTACTGGGAGGTAGAATGAGTGGTTGGTAGTTGACATGACACTCTATCATAGGATATACTAACTGTGTTGTCCTTGCAAGTTTCTTCCAGAAAGATTCATGTCAGTATTAGCATAGAATTTCTCTACTTCTGTGCTTTTAGCCTTTGGCTACAAATTTATGCAGAATCTGAAGCCTAACAAGAAAATACTTAATGACCATTGCTTCTCCCAAGATCAAGATGGATCTGTTTCTTCAACGGAGGGAAAAACAATGAAATAATGGAAAGAGAACACAATATTATAAATCAGGAAATATGAGTTCTAGTTCATGTTTTGCCACTAATGAGCTGAGTGACCTTTGAAAAATCACTTGACCTCTCTGGCTATTAGTCCCCTCATCTATAAAATTAGCCATGCAACCCTTTGTCTTAAATTCTTGCTGACTTGTGTTATTAATTGTTATAGCTTTCCATGATACCAAGTGGCTGAAACCAGAATAGTCACTATAAAAGTCATATTAATGAGATTTCCTGCAGGAGCTTTTCCTCATAGGATATAAGTTGATATGTCAACATATACTTTCTTATCTCTTGTAAGTTTGGCAGATTTGAAGAAACATGATTCGACTTAGATTATTTTAAACTAAAGATAAGTTTTTGTTAGAACTTGTTAATGTCTTGCATGTAAGGTTCTCAGAACATGAATAAATGAATCTTTTAAATTATAGGCTTATGAAACAATGGGCATAAAGCATGCATTCAAAATTATAAACACACAATGACACATCCATTTCATCTTGGAATAAATTGTCCAGATCAAATAATAACACCTTCATCCAAAATGACATAAAAATTAATTTGTGGGCTCCATGGAGTTTAGATTACCTATTTCAAAAATTATTTTCCCCTATTCAATGCATGTAAAAATAGGATTGTTGTTGCTTAACGTCCTCTGCTATAATACTTGCTCTGAGATTTGGATTGATATTTTTTCAGATATATTTCTCATATCTTCGTTTTTATCTTCATATTAGAAAAAGCTTTTTAAGAATGCATGATAAATGGAAAATGTAAATGATTTCATTCTCAGTGCAATTTATTTTTAAAGCCATTATTTTAAGTTTGGTAATTGCAAAGTAATCATCCATCTCTCAGTTTCACACAAGTTTATGACTTCTATTCCTTAGTATTATTTACTGGCCATGTTTACACCTATTTACCATATTTTAACGCAAATAACACATGCCTTCTATGTTTGTTTGCCAACAGTGTCCCCCTTCATAAGCATGCTATGTGAATTTTTTTTAACAGCAACAAGTAAAAAAAATGGCATAGAAGCACTTACGAAAATACCTCGTGGAGGGATGTTGCAGTTGGCAAACAAACATAGAAGGCACGCATTATTTGCGTAACATAGGTTATCCCTTTTTGTTTTCTTTTGTTCCTTTCTACTCTAGTGTCTTCCACTTCCTTTTTTCTTTCTTTCTTTTTTTGTCTTGTCTCCACAAATTTCCTTATTTTCTCTGACCTCTGATAAGGTCATGTTTAAGAGCTTTAGCTGTGTTTTTATTTTTTTCTGAGTTCTTTGGAAGTTAAATTAGGAACCATGGAATTATTCATATTTTTGTTTCTTAACTAAAGCTTAGCCTGAAGTGGTAATTGTGTTCCAATGAAATGTTGTGAGATTTCACTATTAGACTTAAAAAAGAAGCAAACATATTTCATAATAAATCTGAGAAATATTTTGTGGGACAGATATCAAAGAAAATATGATATTCTTTATGTAGTAAAAACTCATGTTTTGGGCTTTTCTTAGCTTTTCTTTTTTACTTATTCTTATAATGCACACACAGACACACACACATGAAAACACACACATGTATTAATGAGTGAAATGAAAATAGATGACAAGAGTATCTCCTCTGCCCTAGTTGACTGTGACAGGCACCATTTCTTTGGGTTCATAGCTCTTGTAGTGCAGCACAGCTGCCTGAAAGAGGGTAGGATAAGAAAGAAAGTTATGGGAAAATCAAGACAGAGGTTTATTGCTTCTTTAACTGCCATATAGTATACAAAAGAATTTTTCAACATTTTACTTTTTTTGTTCAACTTAATTTTGCACACTAACATATTGGAGAATTTAACCATGAACTCCCCACATCTCCATGGAGACCCAGTGACATAAGTAGAATTACTTTAGAAAATCATATCAGTATGTGCTTTACATGTTCTTCTTTGTTGCAGAACTACTGATTATTCCCATATTTCTCCCAAATCTTTATGGAATTTTTAGAGCAGGCTAATGGAGATCATATCTGATCAAGGGGCAAAAACTCAAAAGATGCAGTCATTTCAAAACAAAAATGAAGGACATCCATATAATTAGGTAGAATCTCATTGTGGAGGTATGGGTTTTCAGAAAATCATTGTAAGTTGCTTTGTTTAATTAAAGATACATTCCATAGACATTTTGAATGAAGGTTTATTTTTTTCCCTAGTTTGGATTGCAAAGGATTCTAGGAGATGAAAGAAGTCTCTTACTATTGGCAAGAGCAATTGACCCCAAACAACCCAACATGATGACTGAAATAGTAAAAATACTTTCTGCTATTTGCATTGTTGGAGAAGAGAACATGTAAGTGTTGCTATATTATTATATTAACTGCATGAATAAATGAGACTTGAGAAATTAATAAGTCCTATTTTTCTTCTGTTTCTTTTGATAACTTGCATGAAGACCTGACATTTTTACTTTGTCTGTGTTTTAGCATTTTTGTTAATTGAAGAAAAGATTTAAACAGATAGAATCCTAATGGGGAATTCTTCAAAGTTGGTTTCAAAGGGAATGAATAGTGATTTTGTGTACCTGAAGGTAAACCAATCATTAGAAAATTGGAACAATTTTAGAGTGTTATTTTGGCTAAATGAACACATACACACACACACACACACACACACACACACACACACCACATGTACTCGTACAACTTGACTTCTTTAAGTAACTGAATTGCCTACTTTTATTTTAGAATGGTATTTTACTTTATGTACCTAGGAGAACTGAAAATATGAAGCAATTATACTGTGAAATAAACTAAGCTTATTTAAAAAAAGGTTGCTTGTAATTATTCAGAATGTATACATGTGCCAAATTCAGCAAGTTGTTGCAAAATATGAATTAGATAATATCTTATGGAAATAATATAGAATCAGAAGGAAATTTTCAGATTTGATGTCATCAGTAGGCCCACTTTGTAAGAAACTATTATGATAAAAAATGAAATATCAGCTGAGAACCTAAACCGAAATATATTTTTTTGAATACTTTGTGTGTCAGTAAGAATCTTATACCTGTTAGAATAAAGTGAAATGTCATTTAGTCCTTACTACTAGTGTACTTAGAAAACAAATGAGAAACACTAAACAAAAATATTATCGTATAGCATCAAGTCTTATCTCAACGAGAATGAACTGAAAATGAAGTAACATGAATAAGTAAGGTTTCCTTAGGTTTTATAGAAAAATATTAGTTTCTGTATGAGTAAGAAATATTTTTCTAATGAATTAGATTTTCAATACTTAATTCGTAAAATACGACCTACCTGGTGGAATTGTTAAGGAGCCCTTGTGGCGCAGTAGCTAAGCGCTGGGCTGCTAACCTAAAGGTCGGTGGTTCAAACCATGGGAGAAAGATGTGGCAGTCTGCTTCCATAAAGACTACAGCCTTGGAAACTGTATGAGGCAGTTCTACCCTCCCTTATAGGGTCTCTGTGATTCGGAATCGACTCGATGGCAGTAGATTTTTGGGTTTTGGTTTAACTGTTGTGATATAATTATAATTTTAGTTAATCGTTTGCTAAGAGTTTTATAGTACATAAGGTTAATTTGATTGAGACACCGTATGGTGACGGTTACCAATATTTTTCTTCAGGTAAATAAGTTTCTTATGCTAGGTGATGATAGATGTGTCTTTACTTGGGCTTTCTCTGATTATGGATATTATATTATGTTCAAGTGATATTAATGTTTATGTTAATATGGACAATACCAAATCTAAAAATATTGCAGTGTTTATCAGTCAAGTATACTTTAAAAAATATCCCCCAGAAAATTTATTTTCTTTAAACATTTTTAATTGTATTTTTATTTTTATTCTCTAAAATAATTTAAAATAATCAGTAGTTGACTCATAGAAATATGTTGACAGGAACACAACTCTTAAATTGTAATGGTCTATAAAAGATTACAGCCTAGGAAACCCGATGGGGCAATTCTTCTGTGTCACATGGGATCGATATGAGCCGTAATTGACTTCACAACACTCAACAACAACAACAACATTTAAACATCAAGCACCAGAAAGTAAATGAGGAAGACTGAAGGAGATAACACGTGCTTATACTGTGCATGTAGGATATCTTTCTTATTTCTGTTTCTTTTTTTTTTTCCTTTTCTCTACAGTCTAGATAAACTTTTAGGGGCTATAACTACAGCAGCAGAAAGAAATAACAGGGAACGATTTTCACCAATTGTGGAAGGATTAGAAAATCATGAAGCCTTGCAATTACAGGTGAGTTAATTTTGTTTAAAATTGTTTCTAGGGTTTTATTTAGAGTCCTCATTTTGTATGACATCAACACCATTTTATCTGACATTTAAATAGAATGGAATATAAAAATAAAATTCTTCCTATTGCTTGGTCATTTATAAAAGCTAGAAATTTGTGAGAATAACAATTTGTTTAAAATTAGGAAAAATACTTCTGGGTTATTATAAATGTGGCATTTATGATTATCATGAATATTTAGATAGAAATTCAGTAATGAATGCAATAAACCAGGGGAAACTGAAGCCTTAGCAATAATCACAACAAGAGATCAAGCAGCTTACCCAATGCCATTATCTTAACAAGTGTTAATAAAGTCTGTGGGCTTGTTTCAGAAATTTAAGGTAACCAAACACACTTCTCTTTGTTCCATTCACACAATATTCAGTGGTCCAATTCACCAGGATTGAATGAGTTGAATTGCAACTGTTAGGTCAAGGTGCATATGATAGCCCTATGTAGACCCAGCTTAATTGTCTTCTTTATAAGATAAATCTGTCTTTTCTTAAATGGTTTCAGGAAGTGAACCATTTTATGAACAATAACTTTGTTTTTGAAAGGTGGAAGCTCATATTTATTGACCACATTTATGATATGAGGTCCTGGGCTAAACATTTTAATGTATATATATTATCTGATTTAATCCCCACAACAATCCAACTATATAGGCACTCTAGTTTCCAGTTTGCTTCTGAGGTGATAAGGCTTGTTGTTGTTGTTAGTTGCCACTGAGCTGATTCCAACTCATGGCGACCCCCTGTGTGCAGAGTAGAACTGCTCTGTGGGGTTTCCAAGGCTGTGACCTTTCAGAAGCAGATTGCCAGGCCAGACTTCTAAGGCACCTCTGGAACCTCCCACCTTTCAGCTAGTAGTCGGGCACATAACCATTTGTGCAGCCCAGGAACCCTTGAGGTAGTTAGCCTAAGTGGGGTTAAATAACGTGTCTAAGTTGGCACAGCTTGTAAGTAGCAGAGTCTGAATTTGACCCTAGGGTTTTTGGTCTCTGATGCACATCTCTTTCTTTTAGACAGTGTTTGCCATTTAAGGTACCATAGAAAACCATCTCTGAAATATTTTTATGTCATAATATATATGTAATATATATTATATTTTATATTAAATATTTATATTTAATCTTTTAAAACTCTTGGAGTGTTCAACAAAGAAAAGGTGGCTCATTTAATTTTATGAAGTTCTTTAGTAGTGAGTGTTTCAACAGTAAAATTCCTTATCTGATATAGAAGAAATATTTCTTTTCTTGTATTTTATCATATTAATGAGTATTCGTATCTTCCCCCGCCCAGATTTTCAGACTACACCAGAGAGACGAATTGGCTTGTCCAAAGAGAATTTGTAATGTTACAAAAATATAATTCCTTTCCAAATATTTAAAGATCTTTATTAAACATTACTTCCCTATTCCAAGTATGATGAGCATTTTGGAAAAACTTTTATGATGTGCTTTTTATGTCAAATTTATTACATTAAAAAAAATTTGGGGTATGTCTTTCTAGTGCTTTAATTTTTATAATATACTTGTTATAAGATTTATCTCAATGTAATATAATATCTGTGCTGAAAGGTTTGAAAACTGCCTTTTTTAGATGGCTTCTTGAAAGTTTTGTTCTTGTTCCTGTGATTGGGCTCACCTAGCTAAATTTCATTTACTTTCAGACATACGCAGAAGTTCATGCTTTCCTTGTGACGTTTGTTTAGGAAGGATTAAAAATTTTGATTGTAATAAGAGTATTCATTACATTTTATACATGGTTTGCCATACTTAGGTCAAGCACTTTCACATATTTTTAAATTCTTATTTAAATTGTTTTTTAACAACAGCTCTGTGAGTTAGATATTATTATCTTCAGATTACAGATCAGGGAATTGAGGATCTGGGAGGTTAAGTAACTCACTCAGTATTCCACCGCTATTAAGTGGTAGAGCTTTGATTTGAACCCAGGTCTTTGTGATGCCATCATTTGTATACTGCACTGCCAGATTTTTTAAAGTGAAACCACCTTCAAAGAGCAGCAGTTCACGCCTAGACAATTAGATGAGATTGACAATGTGCTAGCCTTCATGAAGCCGGACTGAATAGAATAATGTGGCAAGTTGTTAACGAGTAACATATGGAGGAATCATAGACATCTCACTAGGTATGCAAGAAATTGTTGAATACTGATAATAGATGCATACATAAGCAAGCAACAATTTGAAATTTCCTATTTTAATGAGCTACAATAATTAGTAATTTGTTATATACAGAGCCTATTATTCTCACAAGAATTGTGGAGTGTGCTTGTTTATTTGGACTACCTAATGTGAATGGAAAAATATCATCTAAATGTTAAAAAAATATATTCAGAATACAGAAATGAAAAACAAAAGTTTAAATCTGTTGTTTAAAAAATATAATTAGTGCTGTATTTTAACAGAATTACTTTTCCGATATCTGTATTATCTTGAGACTTCTCAAAATGTTATTACAGTCTCAGAAAGTAATTCTGTTAAAATACAGCACTAATTATATTTTTAAATAACAATTATATACCTTTTTTTCTTCCTTTGGATTTCAAAACAGATCAGTAACTTCTTACATATTTTTTCTAGTTCATCTTTAAAGTGAAATTTTGTTTCTCTGATAAGATTTTAATTATCTTCAGTAGCTAAAAAAATAGGTTGAAACTGAATCATGTATCAGACATATGATCTCTCTTCATTGACTTCCTTTCAGCTTAGTAGCATTCTCAAGTCTCCTCTATACTACAATACCTTCTTCTGATCCTGCTTATACCTCAAACTAGGCTCTCATCTCCCTTTTAATTTCACAGTCCAGTCTCTAACAGAATCAACTATACTTATTTTCTCTACTTCCTAAATTGCCTTTCACAACTCTACTTTCTCACAGTTCTCAAAAAGGTCGACAATGATCCTTTAAATTCAAAATCATACTGCCTTTATCCAGTCCCGATCACTTGGCCCTGTTGATCACCTCCCTCCTCCAAAATTTTACATCCCTTAGATTTTCAGGCACTCTTCTCTCCATGCTCTCTGACTACCTCTGTTTCTTTTCTGTCTTCTTAATGTGTTTCGCCTTGTCTTACTTCTTGGGTATTTTGTTCCTTAGGTTTTATCCTTGGTCCTCTTTTATTGTCATTTTTACATATATACATGCATATGTACATGCTTGCACCCATATGTATCCATATACATATAATCATGTGTATGTATATATGAATATATATATCTTCCTTCACAAATGTTTTCAATCGCTTCTCTAGCTTCAACATCCGAGTATGTTCTAGTGATTCGCCAGATTTATAAGTCCAGCTCATATGCCTCTCTCTATTCAAATCTGCTTTTCCAAATGCCTAACTAGATGTCTAAGGAGCCCTGGTGGCACGGTGGTTTAGCTCATGGCTGCTAACCGAAAGGGGTTCGAACCCACCAGCTGCTCTGCAGGAGAAAGATATGACAGTCTGCTTTCATAAAGATCACAGCCTCAGAAACCCTATGGGGCAGTTCTACTCTGTCATATAGGGTCGCTATGAGTTGGAATCAACTTGACGGCATTGGTTTTGGTTTTTTTTGGTTTTAACTGCATGGCTTATAGGCATCTTAAAAATAAGAAATTAAAAATAGCACTTATAAGCCATGCACCAAGCAATGTTCTAAATGCTTTACATATGTTATCTTATTTAAACCTCATAGCAATTCTATGAGGGATAGAGTAGTAGTATCCCCATTTCACAGATGAGTAAACCAAGACTCAGAGAGTTTTAAATGACTTTCCTAGAATCACAAAGCAAATGGACGGCAAAGCCTAGATTTAATACCAGGCAATCTGGCTCCAATGCGCATGCTCTTAACCACTATACTGTGCCTCTTATATTAAAACTGAGCTCGTTATCTCTTCCTCTTAACCTGATTCCACCACAATAAGTGTACTTTCTTCCTGTGTTTCCCATTTTAGATTATCTTATTAGTAGTATCACGTTTTACCCAATCTCCAATTTTCCTTATGACTTCATTCTTTGTCCCCTGAATACAATTAATCATCATGTCTTATTGATGAGTTTTTAGACCAGACTATGAATCTAGCTCATTTTCTCTACCCCCTGCTGTCTTTATCTTCTCCCACTGATATTATTCCAACAAGTTTTTAATTAATACTCCATACTAACACATTCTCCCTCTCCAGACAAATGTTCTATACTGTTGTCAGTTATCCTTAAAAAATAAGTATGATTCTAACGTATTGGCATTCCTAACATACTTTACTCATGACCCATTACTTAACGTGATAAAGGTGAAACACCTGATCATGGCATATGACCTTTTTCAATTTGGCGCTATCCTTACATGCTGGCCTTTGGACCTGTCACTCTAACAAATGTACCATATGTTTTAGCCATGCTAACTTTTGTGTTTCCCAAATATGCTGTAGACTTTCCAAATGTCCTCATACATTTGATCATGCAGATCCCTTTGCCTGAAATTCCTATCTTTCCCCACCCATATCCCTTTTCTCCTGGTAAGGTTTAACAAGAGCATAGTGGAATGATTTAATTATGTCTTGCATGAGTCTGGGAAAGCTTGAGTGATAAAGTCACACTTTAAACTGGGTCTTGAAGGATAGGTAAGAATTTTCCAGGAAATTGTCTTTTCTTGTAGAGTAACAGTATTATGGTAGGGTGGGAGGCAAGGAGAAAGGCTTCCAGTTGGTAAAAATAGAGGCCAGAATAGTCTGCGAGTCACCTCAGAAAAGAGGACAGAGTGAGATAATACCAATATATAGTTGTTGAAACTGATTTCTGCATAGCCCAGCAGGAAAATATATACTGAACATTAATAATACTTGTTTATAGAATGAGAAAGTAGTGAAGTTAACAGAAAATGATGTATTATAAAAACAGCCCCAGTCTTCCCAGGCTTTCATTAGTCTGAAAGGTGCCATGTCTTGA